GCAGCTTGTGTACACAGTTTTATAAGAGACAAGCTCAATGCTAAAGTTCATGCGACACAAGGATCTTTTTATCTGTCACATCAGCATCTATTACTTCTACTTCACAACTGAGAAACAGACAAATTCACAGTCCCATGATTTTCCACAGGTTACAGAAATAATCTGCTTCATAGTCAGGAGTTTAGCTGAAGGGTATGTTTAATGCTTTAGGCACAAAGCTGCTTGTTTCTGATATCCCTCCATTTTCAAAAGCACAAATCCTAGGCTTTGATGCACAGGCAATGAAGGACTAGAACTTTCTAAATTATTTTTATTAATTTTTTAACACTTTATTAATTGTTGACAAGGGTGGCAAGGATTGAAAAAAATTAGAGGGAAAGAGAGAGCATTCTTCTCTGTGGCCTCAGCCAAGAAAAATACACTTAATGAAGTTATGTACCATGACTAGCAAAGACCTATTTCAGCACAGGGAAGTATAGCTTGGCTAAACAACCCATCCATCTTACCCGGGCAATTGAAAGCTGTCACAGCAAATGCTAGAGGTCCCTCTTCTATATGGTGACTTTCCCTTGTGTGTCATCTCTTCAGGGAGCCTTCTAGTTGCATCCAAAATATTTTTCTTTCCAGAAAATTAATGGACTTACTTTTGCAATTGATGACCAGGAATAAGTAGCAGGAGGCCACATCCAGAGTTAACTGAAGGTAGAGGCAGCAGCAGGAAAAAGAAAGATCTGCTGGAGACTTGATTTTTCATTTTTTTTTCAGTGCATCTGCAATTTTCATCTGATGTAAAGGTTAATACCACTCAGGAGAGAGGTGCCCCTCATTGGGTGTGAATGCACATCAGCACACACACACACACACACACACACACACATACCTAGTTGGAGACTTGGTGAATGATGTATAATAGCCATTTTTCCTCTTACCACTTCTTTATTTTCTTGCTGAATTTTTGACAAATAAACCCTATTTTAAACCTCAAAAAGGTTTGAAATAAATAACCATAAAGAAACAAGCTTTTTGTGCTTTTTCTCTGCTTTTCTGCCTTTGCATCTTTATATTCTTGCAATAGTTTTCACTTGTTAACACATTTAATGAAATTTTACAGAGGTGGAGGTCTTAGAGAAAAGTTCCACCAAGTTGAGTGAAAACTTGCTGCTATGTATAGCCAAGACCCTAACTAATGTTTCTGTTATGAAAATAGGTTGTAATACAGTTCAGTAGTTACCTACTCTGTGTGTGTGTCTGTGTGTGTGTGGGTTCAATCTTCTCAATTTTTTACCTGACTGCTCAGTGAACACTTATTCAGAAACATCCATAATGTATTGATTTTTTTTCCCCACTGCTAATTAAAGAGCACGAGAGGAAGATGAAAGTCTATGGAAGAGCATTAACAGCCACAGGAATGAACTTGGAAGTGTGGTGGACTTAGGATGTGACCATGTGAAGGTACTCCAGGGCTTGGGACATGGGAGAAGATAGGGGACAAATGGAGTTGTTAGCATCAGAATTTAGCATTGGAGGACACACACCTGGAAGAAATCAGATGTCTTTTACTTCAATCTGGCACTCACAAGGTTATTTGTTTTATTTCTCAGGAAACTCCCGTCCTGAGACCTCCAGGCATTTTGGCAGCTGCTACTGGTATTCCGGCAATGTCTGAAGTCTCTGGGCAAGAACTGTCTTTTGCTAATTGTTGTATGTACTAAAAGTCTTTGAGTCAAACACAAGACATACAGACCAGAGCACAGAGTCTGAAAATTACTTTGCTAAAGTCTTATGGTGTGTGAGACTATTAACTGTACAAGGAATGCCAAATAAAGGAAAATTTTATTTGAGCCATATTAATTATTTAGTATTGGTCAAATCACATGGAACTCGTTGGTGTTTACTAGAGAAAGGTGCTTGAATGACTTAGCTGTTGAATTTTTCTTAAACTCTGTTTTGGGCTCTACTTCTTACATGTTCAAAGGTATTAATTTTACTTACTGAAAAATATTTTGTAGGTCAATGAAATTTTACACAAATATTGCAGAATATCTACTGACTGAAAATTTATTATGATTCTTCCTTTTATTTTTTTTTTTTTTGTTTGTTTGATGGCTAATCCTGTGGGCCACACACAAGCACTGCCACAAAAACCTATATACTCAATTATAACAGCCTGGAGCTCTAACCTCAAGTACTGGTAGTGAGTAGGTTTCATGGAAAACCAAAAGTCTACTAATAAGCTGCACAAAACTAAATTAGCTGAACAATTAAGTGCATTAAAGGTTTTCAAGAGCCCACTTAGAACACATCTGTAGCAGAAAATTGAAGAATGGTTGGAAATATTTTCAGGCTCTGGAATGCGATTGTCCATATTCTTACACTGTTAGATGCTGTAACATGTTACATGGTTCCTGTCAGCATTTTGTCCATGCAAACCAAGATGCAAAAATTTATTTTCAGGTGTTGTTCAGAGACTGATCCAGAAAGCTCTTGCAGGAGGCAGTTTTCAGGTACCCAGACTATTTCTGGGGTCTGAGAGAGGCTGCAAGCCAGTCATTTGGTGCCAGTTGATTTTAGTGCCAGAAAACATTCCTGGGCGAATATACATGCCCTGTTTATATCAGCCTAGTTTTGGGTGTGTCTGGCTCAGCTACTCAGAATTAATCAAGTTGCTGGGATTGGGGACAGAGGTGAATTTTTCCCCAGCTCAAATTAGCCCTTGTGCTCCTCTGTAGAAAGTAATGAGGTCTATTTTTTGAGTATCATATGACAAATTTCTTTTTCAGAACACGATATTCACAATGTCCTTCATGGCTTCTGTTCCCTGTTGTGGCAGCTTCCCAGCTTTTCCTACAGCCTCCACTTTGCTTTGCATCAGGAGAATCCTGCAGCCTCTGCTGTGTGGGAACATCAGAAGTAGAAGATTTGTAGTTCCCCTAAGTAAAAAAGCTATTGAAGAGCTGCTGCAATCATGGAGACAAGACTTGGTAACCCAGGCAATCCATCTGAGGTCTCTGTTCCTAACTTCAGGGGGAAAAAAAAATCATGATCTGTTTTTCCTCAAGTTACTGAAGTTCAAAAAAGACAGTCTTAATTCAGTTAACAAGTCAACTTGAAACACCCTCCAAAGCTTTTAGTACCAAGACAAAAGCTTAAGGGAAACAGAGGTTTTGAGTAACTCCCTATTTTGTAACCAGACGAGGTTTATGCTTGTGCATGATAGACATACTAATTTCCAAAATGCAGCACTTTGGTAAAAGTTAGCTTAACCCTTACATTTTGCAGCTGAAAGTAATTAAGTAACATAATTGTTATTTTTGAGACAGCTAAATACAGGGAATAGTGAAATGAAACTCTTTTTTTTTTTTTTGAATTACCTATGATTTTGGATTTTCAGTGGTGTCCCAGTATCTTAAAATCTGTGTTTAGACCTCTAACCTGAGGTCAAATAACCACCATAGCTGCTGATTTGCCTTTTGAGTATTTGTGAGCTGTGAAAATGAGGGCAGGTGTCTCAAGGTGGCCATCTAAAGCTTTAACCAGTAGGCCTTCCTTCATCTCTACATCTGACTTGAAGCAAAGGAGTTGTGATTGAGGTAAAAAGTAATACCCTAATTGTTTTGCAGCAGTTCTTGCAGTACTGATGCATGTTTTCTTTCAGTGTTCTTGGCTTATGTTTCATGGTGGTGGTCCTGTTTCAAACTAAATCTGCTCTTATTAGCTCTGTGTCAACATAAAAAATGAACAAAGTTACGGGAAGGTATTTTTGTGGAGAATCTCTTCCAGCACCTAGCACTCTCCCTTTAAGCTCCAACTGTCCTATAACTGAGGTCTATTTTCGCAGGCTGAGTTCAGTAAAGGATGCAAGAGAGAGTTACACTCAAAGGAATTAAGGGGTAGGGGTGTTGTGTGTGTTTTTTTTTCTTTTTTTTTTTTCTTTTTTTTTCCTGTTGCTCTAAACTGCATAATCAGGAGAGGAAAAGATCCAAAACTTCAGGGCAATGCACAAGTGGAAGCTTAAATTCTCATTCCCATAAAGCCGATTTATCTTTCAAGGTTTCAGGATTTTTTTTCCTCTTCTTCTCCTGCTATGCCTAAATTTGGCCTTCTAATAACATTTTTATAATATACCGTTACACAAAGAACACAGCAAAAGTCAGTTCAGCTCAAGCCCAGCTGCTTGTAAAGGCTGGGTGAAGGAACTGTTTTTTCTTTGCACTCTGTTCAGTGTGTTTCTCAACACCTCTAAATTATTTTTTATTTTTTATTATTTTATTTTTTTTACAGGAAGAATTGGGACAGGATTTTCATTTTGAGTTTATAGGTCAGCTATCTTTCATCAGCTCTGCTCCAGAAGTGTGAGGAAGTATCTCTAGGTCAGTATCTGGTGATAAAAGAAGCCTTTTAAGACACATTGCAGTTTCTTGCAAGTTCACCATAGGAATTCACCTGAAGGATGTCATTTTCATTAGTCCTGTTTGTAGAAAGAGGACAAAATGTGGGCATTTTGGATACACTTAGATAATATCCTAAGAGGAAGCTACCAGAGATCGAATCATGTGCCTGTACACAGGCATGTGGTACATTTTGGATGCTGTAGTATATTCTTTGAAGTGTATGTCTTCCGTATTCCTTCACGATCCTCAAGAAGATGTGTATGCTACTGTAAGAGGTCAAATAACATACTATGTCTATGGTTTCAACACCTGAGCTATTCCATTGTTGTGGGACGTTTGACCTAAGGTGCATAAAGAGAATATGTTCAGCCACAGAAACCCCTGTATACATTTGGTTATACAATTTAACCTACTACAAAACTATAGATTCCCAAGCAGGAAGCCAAAGGAATTTCTCAGCACCTCTGCAGGAGCAGGGATAATGCACGCAAAGACTCTTCCTTGTGGAAAGAGAAAAGCAATTATTGGCATGGTGATGGTGAATAAGCAATGACTGTGCACTCTTTCATCGAATGTCTTCTGCTTCTAGTAAATTAACAAGAGGCAAATTGAAACAATCAAAACAAGGTAGTTTTGTGCACAATGCAGGAGCTGTGTAACCCATGATCATAGGATACTGTGGATGATAAAATTTACACAGCTTCAGGGAGAGTTGAACCACATGAATTCATGGAGGAAAAATCCATCTTGAGTTGTACTACTGGCAGTATCTTGCTCATGTGGACAGTGAAGAAAATCTAAGAACTGGGGTACTTGTACTCTCCTTAAGCTGCTCCCAGCAAAGTGAGTTCCTGGCAAAGAAAACCACCAGGTGAGATGGATTTCCTTATTTTCTTAAGGTTGTGTCCAAGAGAAAAATTGCATTTTGAAAGTCAAAATGTTTCACTTCCACTTGCCAACTTAAATCTGATTTGTTTTACAACTGAGTCAACTTCAGTCTTCAGAAAACATTTAAAAAAGGTTTTATTTCACAGCAGATGAAACATTCTAGGTTTTCTTCAAGTGGAGTTTTTTTGATTATTTTTTTTCCCCATTTGCAAAGCAAAACTGTCATTTTTGTCTTTGGGTGACATGAAACTTTGCTTTATCTTTCTTGACCCCCCAAAATTGACTATATTCATGCATCTGTCCATGAGAAAAGAGCTGCCCTTTTTTCCCATGCTATCAAATTTGTTATTAAAACAAAACAAAGAAATAAAAGCAATGGCCTAGAGGAAGAATCATGGAACATTGGAAACCAAAAGGAAAACCTTGCCAATTGCAGTCAGTTTTCAACCTTGAGGGGGATGAGGGACTGAATATTGTTGTATAGTTTGCTAAGCCACTTGTAAAGCACTTTGGGTTTCTCCAGGATGAAAGGCATTATATGAACACAAGTTGTTGTTATTAAGACTTGTGAAATGTGAAGACATTATTAAAGGTTGTGGTCAGATTTCCCTAGGCAAAGAGAAATTCCCCCATTGGTTTTGGATGTTTACAAGGTGCCTGTAGCTGGCTGATTCCCTCCTCAGTGTTAAACCCCATTTCAGTGGTCATGTTCCTTTTTGTTGGCAGAGCATTATTTAATTTCTCAGAAATGAGTTTTACTGGGCAGTTCTCAGTGCTGCTGGATGTTAGACACTCAGACACCAGGATGTTTTACACATATGTAAGATATTAAGCACCATTCTCTGTTGACATTTCTTCTCTTGCCCTTGAGGGGCAAAGCTGGACACTTCTTCATGGCTGAAGATTTGCCATATAGCAACATCAGTATTTGTGGTGAGAATGACCCCAAAGCAGACCTTTCCCATCATCTTTCCCAATATGTAGTAATCCATGAGACAGGGCAAAGACAGTGAGTGGCTTGTTGTTCTCAGGGTGCAGATAAAACCTATAGATTGAATCAGAAGAAATAAATTCAGCTGCTTTCCTTTCTGCAGCCCATTTCTGCCAAAAAAACAAATGCTGGTGTTCACAATACTTGATTTGGTATATGGTAACCCTTCTTCCACTTGTCAAGCATTCCTGTTACACCCAACTTCTTCCTGCTGTTTCCATCTCAGGGGTTAAAGACTGACAGCGAGGTTGACACTCTGACAGCCCTTCTTTGAAAATTATCTCTAGCACAGAGGATAAAGGGCCTGGATTTAGTCCCTGTTTACCTGGAGAGTTGCACATTTAACAGCAAATATCACAGAGATAATGTGCTGCTAAGTTTTACAGGCAAATTCACCCAGCAGCTAGTTTGTGGTTTCTGGCATCTGCCCAAAGCTGCTCTCTCAGAGGGTCACAATATGTGAAGAGAAAGGGACGAGTTAGCATACATTTTACATGCCTGGCTGGAAATGGAAGGGAATACATACAACTTGCAGGTGGAGCAAGGGAGGACTGCTTCCCTGTATCAGTTCAGAGAGACTGAGGAGAAAAGAGCTGGGCTGGGCTTTCACAGTTATGTATCCCTAGAATCCCCAGATACTGGAACAGTGAATGGAGGAACTCTTCTGATACTCTTACCAACCTCCAGGTAACTTGCTGGATGGGGTTAGAAATTGTTGTGTCTGTTGCTCTAATGAAATCATTCTGCCTGTCTTTGAACTGTCAGTTTTTATAATTTTAGGAAGATGAGCAGTCAAGCCTGCTGGCTGTTGAAAGTGCAAATTACTCAAAATGGAACAGCAGCCCAGAAGACAATACTGGCCTTCACGCGTTTTCCAGTCTGCTGTCAGTGACTTCAGTGCATCCCCTCAGAGATGTGTAGCAGGTGCCACAGGTTTGTAAAGAATTGCGTGAAAGGGCCAGCAGACTGGGAAGCACACAGGGGTCCTTGTTTTTTCTGTTTCAGCAGAGGGAAAAGCAAATCTGTTATCACCTCCTGCCCCAGGATATGACATTTTACCAAACCTGGGGTAAATTAAAGGCTGCTGAAGCAGAGACCACAACATATATCACTGTGGTCTTCTGTGCATCCACCTCCCTCTTCGAAAGTGCCAGCTGTTCATCCATGGAAGCAGTGATGTCTCACTTGCCTGGCATCCCCTGCCTTTCTTCTAAAGTTGAAATGATCCAGCACAAGCAGTAGGGAACTGGATTGACTCCAAGGTAGAAAGGTGGGTGAAGAAGGGGGAGGGGGCTTTGGAAGAGGCTCATACTCTAAATTGATTTAAACTGTGCTTTTAGGTTCTTTGAGGCAGGGATTCAACAAGCTCCTACAGTGCTCTTACCATCTTTGAAAGCAAGTACTTTAGGCTATTTCAAGCCTCTGTGAAAGGAATAGCAGAGCAGCATGTAAAATTTTCTCAGCTGACACTCAGGGGAGGAGAAACTGCAAATAAGGAAAAAAAAGCCTTTGAAAATTCCCACCTCCTCCACTTTGAACCACCTCCGGAGTTGAATTGCATGACCCACTGTGCTCCTTGCATAGTGGTGGAAAGACCACTGAGGTACTTCATGGAGACCTGCCAGAGCCAGGCATCTGTCTAGGAAGAAGGGTGCTCTGTACAAAGATTGCCCCTTTCAAAAGGGGAGGAGGTGATCACTAAAATCTTGCTTTGCATTTGCACACTTCAATCAGGAATTAACAGGGGATAAAACCTAATCGGCTCCTAGCCTACAGTTAAAGTTTCTACATTGCTTTAGATTGTTGGAATCTTGAAGGAGCCTTCCTCTGCTTTGGTTTGTCTATCTTAGTGTACTCCAGCTTCACGGCTGCTTCAGAAAGTCAAGAAATGGACCTATAGGGCATCTCTAAGAGCACAGAGATGGCTGAGAAACCAGTCCTGAAGGGTTCCTGTTAATGCCAGATAGGTAGAAAGATATTACATGCATTGCTACATGTGGTATGCAAATTATACATTGAAAATAAAGTAAGCTGCATTTTCATCCATGTGAAAATGTGATTCTCTTCAGACACAGAAGACTCTTCACACAGTCTTGTCTGTAAGAAACTTACTCTAGAGAAAAGGGATCATCATATCATTAAAACAAAGTATCAGAAAAGGCCGTAAGAAACAAACCCAAATTCTGATGAAAAGCTGTGAAGATTCATTTCATTTCTTCACTTGCTGCTCCTGAGAACAATGCTCAGAAGCTGAAGCAGACTTCCCAATGCTGTTTGCATTTGATATGACAAATCCAGGGTTGTGACAGGTATATTTCAGACACCTATTTCCAAGATTTCTTTGAAGTCAGAATGGGATGCACCACTAAGCAACATGTTTGTGAATGTGGAGACTTTTACTAAATTAGAATAGATGAGGTTTTATACCACTTTGTCACTGTATTCAGTTGCTTAGAAAATTGAGGAGTATACCTTCTTTTAGCTCCATTTCTATTTAGTAGATCTTTGTCCATGTGTTTACGTTGTGCTTAATAAGCATGGAGTACATAATTAAAACAACAACAACAACAACAAAACAAACAGCCAAAAATGAACAAGTAGACTCCAATTCAGAAAATTAGTCAACTGTGTAATTTCATTTCAATGATTAGTCCTGTTAAGAGTTACATAAATGCTTAAATATGGGATTAATACCTCAGCTGTAATATCTATATGGTTTATTTCATGGCATCTCACTGAGTTAGGGCTCAGGCTAATCCCTAATTCCTGGTTCAGCAAGTATAAGGTTTCTCAGCCTGCTTAGGTCACAACCCCTTTCTAGAAGTCAATCATTTTTGTGACTCCATGTAAAAGGAAGAAAAATCTGCTGGTGATAACATGGTGAAGTCTTTTTAATGCATTTGTGCTCAGGCTTTCTGAGATCTTGGCAGGGAATATTTGACCTTGGAGATGAAGGTGTTACAGGGAGGAGAATACAAAGATTTTCTTAGCCTTGGATTGTAATAGCATTCCAACGCCTCATGAACCCCCTTGATTGGCTTTCTGACCCCTCACTCCCTTGTCCTCCCCCATCTACCCTGATTTTGCAATGCACAAGTTGAGAAACTTTTGCCACAAAGACAGCTAGGCTCAGTGCAGTGGTTTCAAGGGGCAGAGAATTGACTGCTTTGTAGCTGTGAAATGCTTCACCCGCCCTGCTAGAAAAACAGAAAGCAAAACCAGGATACTTCATTTCTAGTCTAGATTGGCCGAAGCAATGGGGAGGAGAAGATGGAGGAGGAAAAGGAGGAGGAGGAGAAGGAGGAAGGTGGTAGACACCCAGGCTGTGCATATGACTCTATTAAATAAGGTTGGGCATGTTCTTGCTATTGTCCTTATGCCCCATGTTCTCCTCTGCATCCTATGCGACCAAGTCACAACACAGGGAAAGAAATCTGCATTCCTTTCACTTTTTCAAAGCAGGTTTTTCATATTTCAAATTATTCTTGGAGACTAGTGTTTCACAGTCATTTTTAAAATACGGGTATCAGAGCTGAACTCCAGATCTGTTAAAGTCTTCCTAAGGCAATATATGAAACTAATTTGGGTTTCCTAATCCTAGCTGGCATTTCATAGTATAGTGTTGCACTTTTATAATATGAATGATATGTGTTTACACTGGCCAGCTACTGAAGTCACTCTGTTAGGCTCTCTATAAATGGTGTTATAATTGGGAGAAAATGCTTACAAACTCTCTTCACACCTCTCTGACTGCTTCTAGCTCTGCCTTGCTCCAAGGGTGCCCATTTTGCTGAAACAGCCCAGCAAGAACACTTGTTTGCTTAAAAGCCAAGAGTTTTAACTCAGTTTCAGAACTTTTTTTACCTGAATGTGATGGGTTTCTCTGGTCTCACTGCCTGATGATCAAGCCTTTCTCTAAGGTGCTTGATTGCAGTGCTGTATTGGAGAAGTAGAAAAGGCCTAATGGCTCCATTTTTGACTGTGCTTACATGCCTTCTCAGAGAAACTTGCTCATACTTAGTGAGGAAATCTGCCAGCAAAAGCAGGACCCAAACATGGATTTCCAAATTCCAAACTCTGTCCTAAAAGCAAGGCCATCTTTTCTTTCCTGTTGTTTATCAGCAGGAGCAGTACTCCCATGGTGATTCTGTATGCAAGTTATTCAGCCTCGCAACTTGCAGTTTTGTACTTAATTTCCACACGATGGTACTGTACTAAGACACTTCCTCTTTAAGTGGCTAGCTCTGATTTGTAATTAGCTGATGCTGTTCAGACAGCATTTATGTGGCACTGGGGTTTTTCTGTGATACGGTTTCCATGTTTACATTCTGCAGGTCACCAAAGGTTTTATGAGCTCATACCTGTACTGCATTTCTCAGCAGTGACTCATGAGCAATCAGCCAGCCTATTTACTCCCAGAGCACCATTTTACATTTGGAAACCTCCTTAGCTGTAAATATGTCTGAAAGTTACTGTGGATCTGTCAGTCAGTGACCCGTCAGGACAGATGTTTACAATTATTTTCTCAGAAAATATAGGCCAAGAGCTGCAGTAAAGAATATGAATCATTTCTGTGCCCAGTTTATCATTTGAAGTAACAGAACCAGCAGCATTAGTCTTAGAAACTGTTGGTTAAAGCTAACTTGGACATCTAAATATTCATAAAGGCATGAAAGATTTGGAGGAAATTATTTTCTTGGTTGTTTGTAAGCAAGCAAGAAAATATCAGTCACTTCACTTACACAGTGGATTTGTAGCCATTGTCACACACCTGGATTTTCATTAGCATACATCAAAGTAGTCTGTTAAAGCCTGGAAGTCACTGCAATACATTTTATCAGAACATAGTAAAAGTATTGTGAAAATCTCAAAAAAAATTTTGCCCCTGCTTGAGTGTGGGTGGCCAATGTGACCATCCCATAAATCTTAAAACTGAAAATTACTAATACGTCTCTTCACCTTTAAATATCTTCTTGGGAGAGTAAAGTAACCACATATTGCACTGGAGTACTCAGAGTTTGAAATTCCAGGAGGCTTTAAAAGTTAGTTCTTTGGTACCTTGAATATTGGTGAAAAGAATATCATAAACACTTCTTTTAAATACTTTTCTCCATTTGGTTTGGAATTTGAGACATTATTAATAATATTATTACTATTATTAATAATATTAATAACAATTATCTGCTTTATCTCAGTTTATATTGAGTACTAAATTCTTTTCAAGATGTAAGCATACACTGAGTTTCTTAAAACATGACTGCAGTTCATACTGTGTGGTACGATTTATCTGTTTTGCTTCCGTTTGGGGTAGAGCTTGGTTAGTTTATTTTGGATGTTCTTACATTACTGTCAGTGATGAGGGCACATATGCAACAGATCGTGTGCAAATGTGGTTCTGAGTTTTATACCTAAAGCTATTTAAAAGATGGGAAAATTGAGCCAGGGAGGAATTCAGTTGCCCACTATCACATGTATAATTATTGCTGAGGATGGGAAATATTACCAGAGGTCTTGAACTGGAATTATGTTATATACTTATGGAAGAGTATAATGTAAAATCTAGGTCTTATAATTCCCTGCTTGGGTACAACTAGGTAAAATAGTGAGGTTTATTTTTGGCACTCTTGGTAGTTATGAAGCTACAGTTAAAGGCTGATACAATGTTTACTGCTGCTTCCCTGTTTATTTGTGCATGTTGCTCTTTATGCTGGACTCCCTAATACATAAATTCTCTCACCTGTGTTTGCTCAGAGCGAGGAGATTTTGACTCAAGACTAAGGCTTGCTAGAAGCTACAATACTGTGAACAGTTTCCAAGAGGTCAACATCACTGCATTTCCAGCTACACCACACCTTTATAATAAGCTGTCCTCTGAAATGCTTTTCTGAGCTCTTGAATGTGTTCTAGCCTTTTTCTTACGGGTATGAAAGCTG